TTTCTGAGAGACACTGTCTAGAGACTGAGATGGTTAAACGTGATTTGTCTGGTATGAACTTGTGTATATATGAACTGGAAATCTAATAGTTAATACTTTTTGGTTTACCTTGTGAACAGATATAGGCCTGTGTTTACATACTTGTATTTCCCAGCTTTGTTCCCTGAGAGGAAGTAGAAGGGATGACGGGCAAGGAGGCAGTAGCATGCAACTAGAGTCCAGATTTTAGTTTCAAATACTGTTCTCTGAAAAAATGAACAAGGAATCCTGTTGATTTCAGGCTTCAGGCAGGGAAAGCCCAGGATATTATAAAGTAAAAAAAATGTTAAAAAATAATGGGGGAAATTATAAGGATACAGGAATCAACTTGCAGGCTTCCACTGACTTGCAGGGTGTACTGTGAGTAACTGTATGCCAACACATGAAGTCCTTGAGATGAAACGGACAAGCTTCTGGACACATATAAACGACAGAAGATCTGAACACAGAGCACGTGAAGAGACGGAATTCATATTCACAAACCTCCCAGCAAAGGAAAAGCCATGACCCAGATGACTTCACTGGGGAATTCTACCACCTGATTCTGATCTTTCTTAAAGTTTTCAAAAATTCAGAGGAGGACAGGATACTTTGTGCAAGGTTAGCATTACCTTGCTACCAAACCAAAGCAAAGACAGCACGAGGAAAGAAAACCAGAAAAACAAAAAGTCTCATTATTCACTGTGGTAAAGATCCAACTAATATTAGAGATTTTAATACGCTGTTTCCCCAACTTTCTACAATGAAATGTGCTACTTCTATGAATAAAGAGAAAATCATAAATGTAACTCTGAAAAATACAAAACTGTAAATAATATATAGATAATTCTATGAAATCATACCTAACAATTATCTAAGGCTAAAGTATCTGGTCGAATCCTTTCTCTTCAATAAATGTATAAACAGACTAATTTTTAAATCACTTATTTCTATTAATATAGTTTCAAAATTATTACTGAGTGCCGAGAAAGAAGTATCAGTAAGTTGACCATGTACTATCATTTTCATATATCATATACTTACAACTGCAAGTCTTTCAGGGCTGGCACTATATCTGAAAATTTAATTCTCTTCGTAGCATCTGTTCAGCCTTTTCTGACTCTCAGGTTCATTAACAGGCGAGTGTTTATGGAGCGAAAAAAATTATAGCAGATACAAATGCATATGTACAGGACGACAGCTAAAACCTCAGGACCTTCAACAAGTGTGACTAACTTGGAGTGGCAAAACATCTTTCCGAGTAAGTAAACCACGTGTCAGAAGGGTGTCAACAATTTTATGTGGTTATTAAAAACTTACGTCCCCTATTACTCTTGATAGCTTGTATTTACTTTATTTAATTAAAGGTTCCTAATTTCCAAAATAATAAAATTGTTGGGCTTCTTTTGAGATATAAAAATGTTGGAAGCTCATTTAAAACATACAACTATTTTAGCAAAGCATAAAGAAGGAATTAAAAATCACCCTGCAAGCCAGAGATGGCAACTACTAATATTGTACAATGTTCTAAAGCCTTAAAGATATTTAGATTATTCTAACTTTTTAATTTTGCAGATAACCCCATTACTCTTTTATTTTTTTAAAGATAATTTTATAGGGGGCTCTTACAACAATCCATACATTAATTGCACCAAGCACATTTGTACATATGTTGCCATCATCATTTTCAAAACATTTTCTTTCTGTTTGAGCCCTTGGTATCAGCTCCTCTTTTTTCCCTCCCACTCCCTCTTCCCACCTTCATGACCCTTTGATAAATTATAAATTATTGTTTTCATATTTTATACTGATCACCGTCTCCCTTCATCCATGTTTCCATTGCTCATCCTCCTGGAGGGGGCGTGGAAAGAGGAATTAGGCTTCAATCATTGCAATTGGTTCCCTCTTCCTCCCCTTCTCCCCCCACCTTTCCCCTACCCTATTGATATCACTACTTCCATTTCTGTTCCTGAGGGGTTCATCTGACGTGGATTACGTGTGTTGTGAGCTCTTATCTGTACCAGTGCACATGCTCTGGTCTGGCCTGAAGTTAAAGCAGGACTGGGGTCATGATAGTGGCGGGTGAGGAAGCCTCAAGGACTACTCTATTTTTAAAAACACCTTAAGTCTTTTGAGAATTTAAAAAAGTCATGTTTTGATTATATAAGTGTCCAAAAAAGACATGTTGTAATATAGAAAATGAAAACCTTCAGAATCGTTAAATGTTAGATCTACTTTCTCACCAAAACCCGCTTAAGATCATCTCTCAGTAAATGACGTCCCCCCCTCCCCCAACCATTTTATTAGGAGCTAATCCAGACTTCATACCATTCAATCATGTTAAGTAGTATTGTACAACTGCTACCAAATTCAGTTTCAGAACATTTCCTTCCATCTTGAGCTCCTTGATATAAGCTCCCGCTTCCCCCCAGCTTTATCCTTCCAGTTGCTCTGGGAAAAAAAGTCTTGAAATCATCTTTGGCTCCTTTCCTTCACTGAAACCCTCATCCACGCAACTAATAGTTGTTGTTTGCTGTTAGAAGCTGTCCAGTCAGTTATGACTCATAGAGACCCCACGAATGGCAGAATAAGACAATACTCAGTCCGGCACCATCCTCACAAGTGCTTTGCTTGAAACGATCCTACAGTTCCTCTTAAAAATATACCCAACTGTATCCAACCAATTCTTACCAGTCCTACCAAAACTAACTTGGTCCAGCCACGTCATTTCTAGCGTTGCCCTTTACTATCCAACGTATTAAAAGCCCACTGATAAGATTTCTGATCACATACTCCAGCGAACATTTAAGAAATTCCACCTGTTAAAGTTTGGTACAGGATCAAAGAATATCCACAATATTTTAAAAGGTGATTAGGATACTTCTCACCCTGAACCTCAAGGTGATTAGGATACTTCCAATCGTATATCTATGTGAGGCTGAATTTTCTTTATATACTTCAACTAAAACATCATACAGTAACAGACTTCTTATAAATGGAAATTTGTGAATCTAGCTGACTTCTATTGACCAAGACATTAGAGTGATTTAAAAAAATGTGTTTGTAAAGATGGCATGGATAAGGAGAATATAATTCAGCATGTGGCCAAGACTGATTCCCGGAAGGCTGAATTCAAACAGGCCTTGACCCTTTATCAATTCTGTTACCAACTGTCCCTCACACAGCTCTTTCTACATCCCTGCTGGGTTCAATAACTGATTGCAGAATTCATACAATGCTTATCATTAAGGGGTTTACCAGAGAAGTTAATGTGCTACAATTCAGGATCAGAAACATCCAGGTTACAGTTCTTTGGTCAGGAAAGCCTCTTCCCTGCCATGCCTTCAAGTTATACTTCTCTCTGGCCCTAGACCCCGTGGCATGGCCTCTGGCCTGTTCTGGCAGTGTTACAAAGCTTTTATGTCACTGCTGATAAATGTCCAAAGGGATTCAATTACACGACAAGTTTTGGTCTGAAGGAGCTTGGCTTAAATTCCAGAAGTCAGCAATACCTGTCCTCCCTGATCATGTGCCCAATCTGCAAGTGAGCTTCCTCCCTGAAGGCACTCCGCTTTTCTCACTGTGTGCGCTGGTTCTGCTGTTCCTCTGGTGTCATAGCTTTCTGTCTCCTGGATTTGGAGGTTCAGTGTGCAGAGATCTCTGGTTCTAAGAGATCCATGGCCCTCTTGGCTATTCTCTCCTGATGGTAGTGAGACTTCCCCCCACCTCCACTTAGGAGACAGTTCATTTTATATCCAGCAGGATAGCAAAATTGACCAAACCTCACACTTGAGTTCTAAGTTTTTATAACCACAATTCACCCTTTTCACAATCACTCAGAACTGAATCATAGCATTCTAACAGGATCCCACCCCTCCCCCCTGCCAGCCTTTTCTATCCAGACCCATCAGGGAAGAAGGAAATACTCCTAATCTGCCTGGTCTCACACTATCAGTCAGTGAAAGTTACAAAGTCTGGAATGGCCATAACAAATAACTCATTTCACCGTAATATTCCTCACTAACATTTTCATGGTTTAGAACTTAGTTATTTCTTATGGCAAATAATGTTATATGCTAACATGTAGTGGGTTTATTTATTAACGTTAATTTAAGTGAATTATAAGCATTTAGACATCCATTCCAGTTCCTCTCTGACTTCATTTCTAACCATCCTCTGTCCTTCTTACATTGGCATCCTTGGTTTGTCTTGAATACAGCACGTAAGTTCCTATGTGGGAATCTCTGCACTTGCTTTCCTTAAGTGTTTGAAATGAGCACCCTCCGATAACCTTATGGCTTCTCTCCCTCCCTGCAATTCTATTGTAAATGTCCCCTTATCAGTGAGATAGCCCCTGAAAACACACACACACACACACACACACACACACACACACACACACAGCAAAAGAGTGGCCTACACTCTCCTTCCTGTTTTCTTTACTGTGATTTATTATTATTATTAACCCTGGTGGTTCAATGGTTAAGTGCTCTCCTTTTACCCGTAAGGTTGGAGGTCTGAACCCATCCCAAGACTCCATGGAGAAAGATTAGGTGATTTGCTCCTGCAAAGGTGATTTGAAGCCAGGAAAATCTGGGGTGCAGTTCTACTCTGTCAGGGTAAGGACACAACAAGCTGAAAATGACTTGATGGCAACTAGTGACATCAGCTCTGTGCTTCTATTGTCTATTCACTCCAGCTTGAGTGAAAGCCCACAACAATAGCAACCAGTTTTGTGTCCTGTTTCTTGATGTATACTTGTGCTTAGAACAACTGCTTGGTACTTAGTTCACCTTCAATAAATTTTGATTAAATGAATTACTTATTGAATTTACGTATTTTTTCCTTTGCATATTCTTGATTTGATTCACCTGGTTTTTCTCAGCAATGGCACAATGAAAAAAATTAAATTCAAATACTTCTTATCCCCAAATGCAGGCAAACAATGGCAGAAAGGTAAGGATCAGCAATGGCTTGCATACCTGGCATACTCTCAGCGCTTGGTCCAAGACGGTTTTGGTGTCGGTGTCATAGTCTGGGCAGGGCAGCATGGCTCGGCTGAGATGCGCTTGCAGCAGGAGGTGTGTTTTGGTGTGGGGGCTGTCAAATGAGTGAGGATTTAATTCAATGGGAAGACATTTTGCCAGTTCACTATTCATATGATCTTCATTGTGCCTTACTGGCAAATCTGTGTATTCTTCTGCATCCTGAAATAAACACAGAGAAATATGTATTGATTTGCTGGATCAAAAATATATTTAATATACTACTTAGATTTAACTGGTGACATTTAAAACACAGTTCAGAAAACCCACAATATATCCACATTACTTAAATTTTGGCTTTGTTTAATTCTGTTAGTATAAAATCACCAAGAGCTAGAAATATACAATATACGTGCAATTCATGGATGCTCCAATTAGTACAGCAATACAATACAGGGTATACTGAGCTTCGCTCACTGTGCTCCACACTGCATAGCAGTGAATCAGAAATCAAGTGTTCGTTAGGATTAATAATCAGCTATAAGGGAGCTGGCACAGCCATGTACTCTCTGAAGTCTTTAGGGAAAGGGCCTTTCATGCCCTTCTGGCTTCTAGTGGACCTAAATATTCCTTTGTTTGCAGTTGCTGCATAATTTCATTGTTATATGGCTACCTTCCCTCTGTTTCTCCTCCTCTTTTATGAGGAGTTACTCAGATTGGATCAGGACTTACTCTACTCCATGTGAACACAATTTACAACATCTTCAAAGACCGTAATTCCACACATTGTCACACTCACAGACAACAGGGTTTATGATGTCAACATTTCATATATAACATGGAATAAACATTTTTATCTTTTGATTTTTAATCTTACACCAAGTACAGTTCTGTAGTTAAAGATAGCCCCCATGATAATAGATCAATAAGTACCTAAAAAATCTACTGAATGGAACGAGATTCTTGTATTAAAAAGACGAAGAAGCTTAGTGGTGTTGAATATGAAGAAAAATTTTATTTTTCCATGTATGCATTTATTTGAGATTTAACTCACTGTTGTGGTGGTGAAAATACAATTATACTCATAATACGAATTGGATAGGTTATATGACAGTGTAACTTAATTACACTCTAGAACAAAAACTCAAGAAGATTCATAGGTACACAAAAGTATGCAGGGCTCAAGAAGAGAAAATGAATACTCCCTGGGATCTAATTAAAGATTATCAGCTGTGCAAAAGGCAGGCAAACATGACCCATAATGATTGGAAACTAACCCCGACATTAAAATCACTAGCCAAGAGCCTTAAAGCAAGGAAAATTGTATTTCAAGTCAAAAAAATAAGAGACAACTATCTACTTCAAATTTGTAAAGACGAAAACAACATCTGATACATTAATGGGAAAGTATATATTGTTAAAGGAAAAATTAGCAAACTTTAACATATCAGTAGAAACATTTCAAAATGAACAATAGAGCAAAAAGATTAGCAAAGATAAACACATTAGTGAGCCAGGAGACAACTTTAAATGGCCTAATTCCCCTGTGATTGGAGCTCCAGACAGAGGAAGGTCTGGAACAACAGTGGGTAGCTATGAGCTGGAATCGACTCACTGGTGAGTCACTACCGAATTCTTCTAAACCACTGCTGCTAAGAGAGAATCTGAGAAGTACTTATGATGAGAAAATACTATGAACAGAACAAAGATAAAAGAACAGCATATTTCTTAACAGAAACAATGCAAGTGAGAAGCCAGTGGAGCAACTTCAATGCACTGAAATAAAGTGTTGGTCTAGAACTCTATACTGCTTTAAAATAGCTTTAAAAACTGAAGACATACAAAAAAAATGGAAGTAATTCAGTAAGAAAATGATTTTTTGAACAAAGGCTCAAAGATAAAGTGGTGGATAAAGAATAGTTTTTAAATAAATAGTTTTAGAGTAATAAATGGTACATGCAAAATAAATAAGCAAACAAAAACAAGCAAAACAAACAAGCAAACAAAACAAAAACCAAGTTTGATTCTAAACTTGCATCATATACAAAAATTCATTCCAAATGGACCATAGTCTGAAATGCAAAAATCTAAAACTACAAAACCTCCAGAAGAAAACATCAGAGAACATCTTTGTGATGTAAGGTAAGCAAAGATTTCTTTGACAGGAGACCTAAGGCATAATAAATCAAAGAATACATGGATAATTGAGATTCATCAAGATGACCAGCTTCTGCTCTTAAAATAATATTGTTAAGAAAATGAAAATACAAGTTACATCGAAACATTTGCAAACTTTAAGATATCAGTAGAAGAAGCACATACTGCACATACTCGAGTAGTAGCCGACCCAAATATAAGCCAAGGCAACTAATTTTACCACAAAAACCTGGGAAACTTATTGACTCAAGTATAAGCCTACGGTGGGAAATGCAGCAGCTACTGGTCAATTCAAAAATAAAAATAGACACCAATAAAATGACATTAATTGAGGCATCAATAGGTTATATGTTTTTGAATATTTATTTCAAAGAAAAACAGTAAACTAGCTCTAAGTGGAAAAGAGGGTCAACAAAACCAATATGGTATCAACAATAACTTTACGCTGTGTTACTGTGTAACAACTGTTGATAACTGCGTTATCAACAATAACTTTATATGCTGTGTTACTACATGCTCTGCATTACTACATACTCTGCCTTATCACAGGTACACAATGCAGCTTGTATAGTTTGAGGCCTAATGCAGGCTGATGATATTCCAGAATGTGATGACACGACTGTTTGCATAGAGTAGCCTGTGTTAGGGTCGGAATATACATGCTGTGTTGTGTGCGCACTGTGTTACTGCATGCGCTTCGCTACTGCATACGCCCGGCATTACCGCATATGTATGGGAAGAGCTAACACAGTGGGAACACGACAGCTGCGTGCATATTATGAGCCCTGACACAGGCTGCTCTATGCAACCACAGTCAACACTGGGTCCAGAAAGGGGTTAGAAAGAAAATAAAAATAAAATATAGCACACTAAGTACTGTACATAAACATACTGTCTATCCAAGACCAGAGATATACCGGTACTTGTATTCAGCAATGCTTGGGCGGAGCAAGGGGGCATGACCAAGTCTGGGTAAGACTGTAAAGGCTCCGTCATTGGTCACAGCCCTGGAGAAGAGCTGGAGAAGAGTGGCTGCATCCGACGTTCATCTGACAAGGATGCAGTGCGCCCCAGGTACCAGCACACTGAAGCGGGCAGGTTCTTGCCTGGTATGGGCTCGGACAACACAGAGGTTGCAGGCGTGCAGGAGAAAAGAAGAGCGGTGATACCAGCAGTCATCGGACCACCCACAGAGGCTGCAGGCGCCCCACAGCGGAGTGGGAATGACTGGAGAACACCCGCACTGCAGCGGAAAACAGTTAAGTGAGATTCTCACTTAAGCATAAGCCGAGGGGGGCTTTTCAGCATAAAAAAATGTGCTGAAAACCTCGGCTTATACACGAGTACATACGGTATTTTATAAAAGTCTGATATCCAGAATATATTATAAAGAACTCTCAAACAAGTCAGAAAACAAACCATCTAGTGAAAAATGTGCAAAATATTTGAATACTTTATGTAAAAGTGAGCAATATCATTAGTCATTAGGAAAATGCAAATTAGAATATTCAAAATTAAAATGACTGGCATGCCAAGAGTTGGCAGGGATGTGGAGAAACTGGAACCTCATACCCACCTGGCACAATTACTTTGGAAAAGTTTCACATCTTCTCGAAAAGTTAAAGTAAACCTATCAACATGATCTAGCTATATCATTCCTAGCAGTTCACTGGAGAGAAAAGAAAATCTACGTATATCTAAAGACTTAGACAAAGAAGCTGATTACAGCTTTACTTGCAACAGTAAAAGAATCTGTTATGTCCATATGATGCCTTGGCAGCACTGTTAGATAAGCATTGGACTTCTAATTGTAAGGCTGGTGGTTCCAACTCACCAGCCATTCTATGGGACAAAGATGAGGCTCTCTGCTTCTGTAAAGATTTATAGCATCAGAAACACTAATAGGGTTGTCATGAGTCTGACTCCATTCGACGACAGTAGGTTATATCTGTACAGTGGAATGTATACAGCAAACAATAAAAAGAATGAACTATTAATATGTGACAGAACATGGATGGATCTCAAAATGATTATGCTGAGTGAAAAAAGAGTATTAGACTCTAGGATTTCATTTATATGATTATTTTGAGAAATGAAACTGATATATAATGACAGAAAGCATATTGGTAATTGTATGGAAGAGGGTATAGAGTAGGGAAAGGAGCTAAGATTAACAAAGGGGTACATGATTATTTGTACCCATGAATTCTTACCTTTTTGATTGTGTGTTGAAATGCTTTAGAAATGTCAAGATCTGGAATTCAGTATTAAGGATTACGTTGTTTTTCCTTTCTGTATGTTTATATCTTTCAAGCTCAATATATACTTTGAGAAACCCGTGCCTTTATTAGGGGCCCTGGTGACAGCGTGTGACATATTGGGCTGCTCACTGCAAGGTCAGAAGCCACCAGCTGCACCACAACAGAAAGACAAGGCTTTCTACTCCTCCACAAAGTTAGTCTTGGAGACATGCAGAAGCAGTTCTCCCTGTCCGGTAGGGCCACTATGAGTCAGAACTGACTTCATGGCAGTGAGTTTTTGGTTTTTTTTGGGGTGCCCTTATTGGATGTCAAATATAAACACTTCCAAACTGAATGTTCCATTAAGTCAATGCCGACTCATAGAGACCATATAGGACAAGGTAACACTGACCCCGGGAGTCTCTGGGAGTAGAAAGCCCAGTCTTTTTCCTGCAATATATACTAATGCAAGAGCATTAAAAAACAAACAAACTGAAACAAACTGTGATGCTGGTAGTACTATATCTTTATGAAGAATTTAACACTCTATGACCTGACAAAAGTTCTTATTTCAAAGTTTTGAAAGAGATAAAGCATTTAAATGAATATTTGTTAACTACCATCATATGTGATTCCAGACTATGGGCACAGATACACTCTCTAGTAGGACAGACAGACACTGTTGTTTCAACCAAATACATAAATGCAAACTTGACATGGTGACAAAGGCTATGGAAAAGACATAAAAGAAAACCTTAGTTTAGTAAATAAATCCGACCAAGTTACAGAGGTTTGGGAAACTTCAAGGAAAAAGCAGTTAAGCTA